AAGAACAGTATATAGTAATCTTTTGTTAATTAAGAAAATATGATTTTGCTTAAACAAATAGTTTTTTTGAAAAGAAATTTTAGCTATTATAGTTAGATTATATCTGTATACCTTTTAGTAGCTAAGTGAGTTCAAATTTGTATAAAGAAAACAATTATATAGCTAGTTTTGCCTAATTTGAATTTTTGTTATAACATTATTATATGTTTTCTCTTAATAAATAAAAGACAAGATCATTTAAAAAAAAATAATAATAATATACTTAAGAGAAATTTTATTAACTAGTAATATAAGATTATAATTTTTGTAATACAACTCTACTTAAGATGCAAATATCTATTAACTTAATAAAATTTTGACTTTTGTATGTAGCTATTATGTTATTTTAATTTTTGTCTAATAATCAATTTTGATTGGCCAAAATACATTAGATTATCAATTTATATTAGTTAACGTTAAATGACTTTCTAAAGTCATTTGAGCTTTGAACAAATATATTGACCAATAAAAAGGTTCACATTACTATACGTTACACAACCGTATCCACAAAGGTTATAGTTCACAGCCGAACACTTTGGTCGATTCTTATATAGTGAAATAGACAAGTTTTCTGGTTTTCTAGTAATCTACAATGACTGACAATAAAGAAACCGATCCACTACAACTTTTAATGTATTTCACAGCTAATAATTTGACGCCTCAGCTTCTTGATCAAAGCAATAATGTTGTTTCTAAACTTCAGGATGCCACTTATATACAGTTTGATTCTTTACGATTTGATAAAAATATGACAGCTACATCTTTTCAAGGTCTTTCACACCAGTGCTTTCCGTTATCCGTTCTTTATCACGCTACCGCAACAAGGGAGCTAGATTTCACTAAATATAATGAAGATGCAACAGAGGAAAAATTTACCTCGCGTTTAAATTATACAGAAAGGAAACAATGGCTAAACTTTGTTAGTGGCTATTCACCTTTGATTAATGATCCCGATAAGAACCTATTTGGAAAAACTTCAGGTAATTAAGCTTGTAGCGATAATGCTAATTTTATTTGATCATTCAACATATTCTTTCTTTGATGTAGAAAAGCGTAGGCACGATAATTTGGCAGATAACGATCATCAAAATGCAGCTGAAATAAAGAGACAGAAAAAGACACGTTTTGATAGGGATAAAATTTGGATGGAAAATTACCAGAAAAATCATAAAGCCACTTCAAGCTGGCCCTGGGAGGAATCATTGGAAAGTAAAGACAAAGAAGAGGTATAGACAAATTATTTTCGATGATAATTCCAAAAGTTATAAAATTTTCTGACGATGCATTTTTTCAATTTCAAGAATTACTCGCAATTCATTCAATATGCTGATATTTACTTCCTTAAAGTGAAAAATCGCGATTTGCCTGCTCAAGAAAGACGTACGTCCGTTATAATACAAGACATAATGAATAAGCAAATTAACTTTTTTTTTTTTTTTTTTTTAGCTGGCCATCTTCGAGCGCCAGATTCTTTCGCGCGAACGCATTATCGTTCTGATGTAAGACAAAGTAGTATCACAATTTATTAATTTTTCATGAATTATAAAATAATTAAACACAATGATAATGTAGATATGTATGTTGCACTAAAGGTTCGAAAACACCTAGAAATCCATTAATTCTAGTACCTTCAGCACCTTCTGCATTCATTACTATGTTTAATATTAAGCAACTATTACAAGATGCAAGGTATGAATATGATCATATATAGGAATAACCCGAGATAAAGTGCTTTTTACATTAAATATAAGAGCTGATTCATATTGAATATTATAGGTTCGAAGATCAAGTCTCACTTCGTAATGAACAAAAAAAAGAAAATCTCATTAAAATTAATCGGAATGGAAAAATATATGAGTTCACAGATTTAGTTGATAATTTGCAGCAATCAGATTGGTTAGAATATAATTTTAATAACACATATATCGAGTAATCTATAACCTATATAATCATCTTAATATTCCTTGTAGGAATCGAGTAGTTTGCGTTATTACTGACGGGAGCGAATGGTTATTTAAAAAATACTTGTGGAAAACACCACAAGAAACATTCAATCATGGTATATTTTATAAAATAATTTAAACTGTTTTTTTAAAAGAATTTATCCTATAACGTTTTATCTATTTGTCTCGGTTAGTGCCAGGCGTTTATTTTAAATACAACCATGATGAAGTCAAAAAGAATGTTACTTGGAGGAATGTTCATTGCATCAATGTATGTGAAATTTTAAGAACTTTCCAAAATCTAAATATTAGCGTTAAAAACTATATCTATTTATTAGATTCATCGAGAATTGCGTCATAAAGATTCTGAAGCCTATACCGAATTTTGGAATATCGTGGAGAAAGCTAGATATTGAATAAAATTGTACCCTTTTTATTTAATCGAAAATTTAAATGGTACTGGACTTGCACAATATTATTTGAACATTATTACTGTATATACACTAGAAAAACTGTATTTTAGTCATTTCAAGTAACATCAAGCTGCATGTAGCGATTTAGTTCATCGGAACGTAGGTTAGGTGATATTTAGGCAGACTTTCAGTTATCGAGTTGACTTATTAATCATCAGGCATATATATTTGAGGCATGTTAGATTTATGGCTTAAAGGGTTATAAAATGTATTTATTAATGCCAAGTTAATATTGTAATATGCGATAACAAACAATCAATTGGATGAACAAACTGCATTATTATGTCATAAGAACCATAAATGAATTTGTAAAAAGTGGCACTCATGTGTAACATTAATCTGTAGCTGTCAAGCCAAATTACTTTGTATAAGTAATTTCATTCCCAAACTTATTAGTGATTCTAAATAAAGCGATGTTATTTCGCTACTATAGCTATAACTAAAAAGCATTAGAAGTATTATATACTCAAAAGACTCATGTCGGTTGTGCACATATAGTACAAGGATTGGATCATATCTGATGCTTCAAAGAATAGTAGGATATAATCAGGTTTTATATCACGAAATGTAGGAACAAATAAAATGAAGGATATTATAGTACTATGCGAAGTAAAAGTTTTCTATAGAATTTTACATATTACTTTCTAAAAAAATATTATTATTGTATAAGAAAAAAAAAAAAAAAAAAAAATTCATCAACTAATCAAC